CATAGTTGCTGGGAAGACAGATATACATCACCACTCCTGGCTTTTAGATTGGATCAGGAATCAAACCTGCGCCTCACATGTGACCTCAGCCTGCCAAGTAGCAGTGTCCAGTTGTGGGCTACTGAGGCTGGGTCAAAGTATGTATTGTTTTTCGGGAGTTCTAAAACATAATTATAAGGACATGAAGATCTGTAGTTTACTGTTTTTGTTCAATCCTTCAAGTTCGTATTTGACATCACATAAAAGAGACAGAGCTAGCCAATGGCATAGTGGTTAAAGTGACTGGATCCCACATAGCTGTCCATGAAGTTTGACTCCCAGACCCAGTGACTTTAAAAACACAGGTGGCATGGTGGTTAAAGTATTAGTGGCTGACCATGGTTTGAGTCTTGGACCTGGCAGCTTGAGGATCATACCAGGGGCGTTTGGGTATGTGCCCAAAAATCCCAAGAAAAAAACACATGCCCTAAGGCAAAACCTTAAAAAAAGAAGAAAAAGAGAAACATGGTAGTTGTGGGCACGTGTGCAGATGCTCAAAATCCTTAGAGGGAGAAATGAAAGAGAACGGATTTCCATGTGTATTGGGATGTGGCAGGGGTGGGGGGTGAGACGGGGGAGCAGCTTTCTCATTTTCTCTCTTTGTCTCTCCAGCAAGAGCATATGCCCTCTGGCAAATAAACAAAGAAGAATCACATTGGTTAGGATGAGCAAAACTGTTTTCCATCATCTGTTTTTCCTTTCCTGAAGTTTTTCATTAAGAAAGTTCATCTAACTGAAGAAGTTGCTGTCTTTGGTTAGAAGATACCCATCCCTTTCTTCTTGTGAAAGGTAAGCTGCTATTGCGGGTCTTTTAGGGCAGAGCTGGTTTCACATAGCATGTTTTTTTCCCCATAAGGACACTTACCTGCACTACACTTTTTGTGTAAAGAGTTATGGTAATCATAGGGTTCTGAGGTCAAACATGAAAGCCAGTTCCATGGCAATTCCCATATCCAGACTGGAGGATATTCTCAATTCCTCCAGTTCTTGTGCCTTTACTCCCTACCTTGGGAGTTTTCTGAGTAACACTTTCACACTTAGAAATTAAGTGTGTGAATCAAGGAAGCCTCATTTATATAGGATGACAGAGATTCTTCAAAATCCATCATGCAATTAGCCTCTTATTCTGCACTAGCAAAATAATTGCTTTACTAACTTGTTTTCATAACCACCTGTTATTTCAGTTTATCCTTGTGTTAAGGAAACAACCTGTGCAACACAGCCTGAGGAGGGCAAATTCTCTCAATTACATTCAAAAGGAAATACTGCTTGAGTCCTTTATGGTCCTAACCTAGTCCCTCAGCACCAGCATCTGCCTCTCCAAGTGATAATTAGGCATGAGAGGTTGGCTGTGTGATCTCAGCCAACAGCTTTCAAAGGGTGTCTGGATTTAAGAACAGCCCTGTCTGAGGTTTTTGAAAGGGAACAAAATCTCTCCCATCAGTGTCTCTTCATCTCGGGTAGCCTGGGTTGGGGAACAGATCTTTAGAGTGAACAAATGGCCAGTTGCTTTGCCAGTTATGATGAAGTGCCTTTAATTTGAGCCTTCTTTTTTAAAATTATTTATTTGTTTAATTCCATTTGTTATTATTAGTTTTTAATTTGACTAGAGAAAGAGAGGGAAGGTGAGAAAGCAAGCCACCAAGTCTGGGACTCAAACCACAGCTGGCCATGTGGGAATCCAGGGCTTTTTACCAGCACACCACTTGCCAGCTTCCAACCCCTGAGCCTATTTTATTTTATTTTTTTTTGGTAGGGAGGAGAGGTTTTTGCAGAGGTTTTGGCTATAGGGCACATACGCTCACCAAAAGACAGAGAAATAAACAAACAGAAAGCGAGAAATCATCTCCTGGGGGCATGGCCACGCTGCAATGCCTTCTACTCCATTCTCCTCATAAAAAAAAAACATACACACACACCTGGTGTGAGTTTAAGCCACCGGGTCCAGGACTCAAACCTCAGTCAACTATGTGGGAGTCCAGCAACATAGCCATTATACCAACTGCTGGCTCCTGAGCCTTCTTTTTAAATGAGCTTCCATGAATGCTTTTAATTCCTTAATATATTCTCTGGTTGGAGCAAAATTGCTCACCATGGACTGAGATTATGTCAGTCAAAATGTAATCTTAATTAGTAAAATTCTACTTTGCTCAGGAAAGGGCCACATGGAACAAGGGAAGTTGGGGGGGAGGGGGGCTTGGCTGCAACCCCAATCACCCAATGATGTCCAAGGTTGGTTGTTTTGGGGCTGGGATTCTCAGTATGTTTCTTTGAGGCTTGAACTCAGTTATAAAGCCATCTTTCAGGAAGAGAGGGCTGATCTTTTAGTTATACTGTGTAAACAATGAGATCCTCTACTTGAAGTGCTCTTCAGATACTGAGTCAACTCCATGAAATTGCTACCTATGAATAACCAAGCAATGAGGATGTGGCAATAGAAGAGGCAGAGACCATGCTCTCAAGGTGTCTTAAAATCATCCTATGTTATGGTTAGACATGGCATTTTAGCTTACAAAATTCTTTTCCACATATTATTTCATTTAATTTTTAAACTATGAAGAAAGAAACATAAAGATTATTATCCTCACTTGCAAAATAGAGAACTAGATTCAGAGAGTTTTAGGGAGCTGGTCAGTATCACAAAGTTAGGGGCTGGAAGCTAAGGCCTTTGTTTCTACAACAGCCCATGTGTCTTCTTCCTGTCAAAGTATATTGGGCTGTGAAAGCCTCCATACTTGAACAGCGGCTTTGGCTTCTGTAACTGGGACCTCCCTTGAAAAACTGCTTCCTTACTAAACTTGCTAAGTTACAGCCAATCACAGCAGCTCAGCTTCAGTCAACCACAGACATTCCTCCTTTTCAACAGTGTTAACTTAGAAAAACTTTAAGATGTAATCAATCCAGTCATTTCCCTCATTCCTCTACTTCCATTTTGTATGTCACTTTCCCATCCCTGCATACATGTCACTTTCCCTCTCTGAAACTTAAATATCGCCCAGTCATAAGGTTACTGGATCCCCAGGGTCTCCAATTCAAATTATGTTTTCTTTTGCTCAGTTAAATTCCACTCAATTAAATTTTAGTTTTTCTTTTAACGTACCTCACCTCAGAAAGTGAGAAATTATGAAGGATTTTCTGAGCAGACTAGGAGTTTATTGAGCATATCTTGTGGGCACTGTGTTTCTACAGCAAGTCTGATAGGGTGGGAGTGCATTTGTGTTTTCTTTTTTTTTTTTTTTAAGAATTATTCGCTACATTTTATTTATTATTATTATTATTTTTCAGTTCACCAGAAAGAGAGAGAGAGGGAAAGGGGGAGGGGGGAAGCTAGAAAGCAAGCCATCAGGTCTAGGACTTGGGGAAGCCCAGTGCCTCAATCACCATGCCACATGCTGGCCCACATTTGTGTTTTCTAAGTGAGGATCCCTTGGTAAAAATTCCTATTGGTGGTAATATTATCCTATTATATACATAAAATTGATTTTTTAAAGCTTATTTATTTTTTCCACGAGAGAGAAAGGGTGTTACCCCAGCCTTCATAACATACCACCCTAGTTTCAACCAGCCCTCCAGATCGTGGGCACACATATGACTGGCATGTTCAGGGAAATTTCTGGGTACAACTCTGGAAACTTCCTATGTGAGTCAGCCTCACAAGGCATTACATTACAGCTGTGCCACCATCTAGTTGCAAGTGGACTGTTAAATATTTATAGCTAATGCAAACATTTTTAAAGCTCTGTAGTCCAAACAAAAAACAAATACAAAATCAACCCAAAACTTATGAGTCTCTTTTGCAACCTCTAGTCTTTGTAACTGTACATAAATAGAGTATTTTTAGGAGAAAGGCATCAGGGCCTAGAGATGTAGATAGAATTATCTTTATTTCCAGAAAAGTCCTACATCCTTTCCATCTTTTTGAGGGAGAAAGAAAGACAGAGGAAATTAATCTGCTGTTGGAACTAGAGCTTTCAACGCTTTCAGTCTTAGATATGATCTGTGTGAATATCTGCTTTTTCTCTTATAGTTCTTATCTATTTCTCTATTGTTTAACAGATAAGTCCCCTGGGCAAAGCTTTCTCACAGGTACCAACAGATTAGACTGGGGCAGGAGATATATACAGAACCCCATTCAATAGCTAACACTACACTTTCCCCTTCCATCCGAGAAAGCATATTGGAGTCCACAAGTGAGAATGTTAAAAATATTAGAATGATATTCACTTGACCTTAATTTTTAAAAAGTAAATTTATCACAAAGAGAGTATTTTGCTTATCATTAGTAATGACTCACTTGCGACACAACTTATAAATGTCAGGTCAATGTGGCTAAGAACTATTGTTTCAAAAAATGAAATGTGTGAGTAAGATAGACCTGCACTCAGCCTCTGGTACTTTCAGCCGAGGTACGGTAGACTGAGTTGTCTTCCTCAGCTCATAAATTCACTGTTAGAGTGGATCTTAAAGAAATGTCACCAGAGACAATAAGACTCTAAGATACAACAGGAGAATTAAAAGAGCATGTTCTTCAAAGCAATTGCGAGTTAGAACCCAATATTCTCATCTCTCTGGCAACAGGGCCTTCCTCAGACTGGTATTTGAGTGATGTTAACTCAAGTCCTGCCCAGTGGCATAAACCAAGAAGTTTTAAAGGATTCCCATGTTATTGTTTCTTTGCTTCATGAATTGATTCAAATGATGCAGAAACTGAACAACAGAACTTTCCCTGTTACCTTCTTATTTGGGATGATCTCTTTTCTTTCCACCACATTGGAAAATAAAAATTCAAAAAGTGGGAATAAAAGCCAGATTCAGGGAAAGTAAGACAAGGAGGTGACGGGCAATCTGGTGTAGTGTGTCTCCTAGGGAAAAGGTGTCTGGATCTGCAAGTCAGACTATGGCAAAATGAGAACAGAAACAAGTCTATTTTTTTCTCTAGGTTACCACAGGGAACCAACCTAACCTATTTACAAGGGGTCTCAGGGGGAATATCTTTAAATAACTATCTTGTCACCATCCTTTTCATCATCTTCCATGATCACTTTAGATCTCTCATCTTCGAACAGTCGCACATCTGCAAAAACAAAGCACAGGTTTGCAATTAAGTGCCTCTAATTAAAATATTAGAGCATCTTGCAGCATAGACACAGTACACAGGAGCGTGGCAACCCAGAAATCTTTGAGTGTCTGCAAAGATAACTGCTAAAGGTGTCAACAGAGAGAGGGAGTTGAATGGCCTTATTTGGTTTTCCCAGAGGTACTAAATGAGGACAACACTCTGGTTTTAAGGGGGAGTCAGAGGCAACTTCCACCCTCTTCTCTATCTGAGCTCTGGTCCTAGGCTTACACATAGTAGGGTAGAAAGTGTATGGATTAGGGGGCCAGCAGGTGGCATGATGGTTAAGGTGCTGGACACTCCCACGTGGCCGACCACAGTTCAATCCCAGACTTGGTGGCTTGCTTTCTCACTTTCCCTCTCTCCTGTGTCTCTCTCTGGTTAAATTAAAATAAACAAATAATTTTTTTTTTTAAAGAAAGTAAGTATATGGATTTTGGAGTCCAACACTTTGGGCTTCTAGTTGAGCCATGCTGTCAATCTATGTCAGACCAGTTATCACCTTCACATGTAAATTTTCTCATACGTAAAACGAGGATGTTGATATTTGTTATAAATGGCTATCAGGACAATTAAGTACAATTCAAATAACAATCTTTAACATAAAGCCACACCTACGGGCAAATAAATGTCAGTTGTTCTGATATTTTCACAATTTGCTAGCTAATTTTCCTTTGGAAAAAAACATGCTATACCTCATGAAGTTAAACTTAAAAGCATATTACTAACATCTGTATAAGATATTTATCTGGGGCCTGAATATGCTGTTTGCAAATGTCAATACCAGTATGACAAAGTATGATAAAGTCCATGGGGTTCAGAGCAAAGTGAGAAAATAAGCGAAATGTGGAAAGCGTTTCATACAGGTATATGGCTTATTTAAAAAGCTGTTCTTTATTTGAGATGATTCTTTTCCTTATTTTGAGGATTGACTATATTCTTTCCTTTTTATGAAACGTTAGTGAGGTTAGGCATTTAAAGCATTCTTATTAGTCAAAATGCAAAGTTGCTGTTCTGATGTTGGGCTTCACTATATTTTATTTTTCAAAGTTTGCTGACCTGTAAAATTCAGAAGTCTCAGTACAATCTTATAGGCTGATCATTTCAAAAAAGATAAGCCAAGGAAGTTTGGTGGGTTCTGCTCATCCTCCAGAGCAGAGTATAAAGCAGGGCCATTTTAATAAAAAGACAGAGGAAGCTTCAATTTAAGGCCAGTCTTCTATAATATCTACCCTGCTCCAGCCAGTCAGTTTTGTTTCCCCACCACTCCACTCCCACGTGGCCGACCACAGTTCAATCCCAGACTTGGTGGCTTGCTTTCTCACTTTCCCTCTCTCCTGTGTCTCTCTCTGGTTAAATTAAAATAAACAAATAATTTTTTTTTTTAAAGAAAGTAAGTATATGGATTTTGGAGTCCAACACTTTGGGCTTCTAGTTGAGCCATGCTGTCAATCTATGTCAGACCAGTTATCACCTTCACATGTAAATTTTCTCATACGTAAAACGAGGATGTTGATATTTGTTATGAATTGTTAACAGGACAATTAAGTACAATTCAAATAACAATCATGGCTATCAGGACAATTAAGTACAATTCAAATAACAATCTTTAACATAAAGCCACACCTACGGGCAAATAAATGTCAGTTGTTCTGATATTTTCACAATTTGCTAGCTAATTTTCCTTTGGAAAAAAACATGCTATACCTCATGAAGTTAAACTTAAAAGCATATTACTAACATCTGTATAAGATATTTATCTGGGGCCTGAATATGCTGTTTGCAAATGTCAATACCAGTATGACAAAGTATGATAAAGTCCATGGGGTTCAGAGCAAAGTGAGAAAATAAGCGAAATGTGGAAAGCGTTTCATACAGGTATATGGCTTATTTAAAAAGCTGTTCTTTATTTGAGATGATTCTTTTCCTTATTTTGAGGATTGACTATATTCTTTCCTTTTTATGAAACGTTAGTGAGGTTAGGCATTTAAAGCATTCTTATTAGTCAAAATGCAAAGTTGCTGTTCTGATGTTGGGCTTCACTATATTTTATTTTTCAAAGTTTGCTGACCTGTAAAATTCAGAAGTCTCAGTACAATCTTATAGGCTGATCATTTCAAAAAAGATAAGCCAAGGAAGTTTGGTGGGTTCTGCTCATCCTCCAGAGCAGAGTATAAAGCAGGGCCATTTTAATAAAAAGACAGAGGAAGCTTCAATTTAAGGCCAGTCTTCTATAATATCTACCCTGCTCCAGCCAGTCAGTTTTGTTTCCCCACCACTCCCTCATACCACTCCATCTCCTGCTTCTTTTATTTAGAGACTTTCCAGATACCTTGAAACATTCCATAAAGATTTAAGCTCGAGGGAGGGAAGCCGTGCACGAGAGACCTGCAACGCTGGACTCCATTCTACAGTGGCAAATTCATGAAAACTATGCATAGGTCTTAATGACTATTTATGTGATTCAGTAGTTTGTCCATAGGATTTTTTTTTCTATTAACTGAGATTTATTGGAAAACAAAAACAGTTTCAAGAGTTTGGCTGAAGCTAAGGCTTTTGTATAAATCACTTAGGAAACACAGTAAGAGTTATTTTCTCTTATACTAGTTGCATAGAGGTTTGGATTTTGATTTGGAAAAAGGGTGTGTATGATAAGAGAACCAAGAGTTAGCAATGTTGATTCCCAAATCTTTCTATCTTTTCCTTCTTTCTTGATATTTCTTCATATTAAGCTAAATTTGGATTGATTCAAAATGGACAAGAGGCTTTAAATTCCCAAATCCTAGATAACTTTCTGGTTACTTTGAGTATCCTTGAAATCTAGTCATATGTTAGAAAAAAAAAAATCCTGTCCTGGGATTTTAGGGATAAGAGGAGCTTATTAAACGATCCAGGACAGCCTTTCCAAAGTGGGCTGAGCTGTCCATGGGAGAATAAGACATTTTAAGTGGAAAATAAACAGCATTTTTTTTTTCAGAGAGAGATTTTTGTTACAGGGTGTATGCGCTTGCTGGAGAGATAGAGAGAGAGAGAGATATCAAAAGCGAGAAATCATCCCTCAAGGGGAATGGCCACACCGCAATCAATCCCTTCTCTTCCATTCTCCTCTCAGGATCTTGGACATGCACACACACATACACACACACACACACACACACAGTGTGAGTTTTAAGCCACTGGGTCTGAGACTCAAACTGCAGTCAAGGGACTAGCAGTTGGTGGGCGTAGTGGCTATGTTGCTGGACTCCCATGTAGGCTTAAACGCACGTTGGACACGTGTGCGTGTGTGCCCAAGATCCTGAGAGGAGAATGGAAAAGGGATTGCAGCAAGGACATCCCCTCTGGGGGGTGATTTCTTGCTTCCTGTCTCTCTGTCTTTCTGGCAAGCGCACACACCCTATAACAAAAAAAACCTCTCCAAACTGCAGTCCATTACATGGGAGTCCAGCAATGTAACCATTGTGCCATCTGCTCATCCCAAGCATTTTATATTAATACAGTTCAGCATTCATTTAAATGTCTTAAAATAAAAATAAATATATGGTAATTCATCAACATTTTGATTTCATGAATATCATTGCTTGGAATGAATCAGAAATCAGCAGCATAACTGCATTCTTGTTCTTGATGTTTCCTGTTATCGGCTTTGATGATTTGAATGTAGCCTAGGTTTGAGAATCACTTGTTCGGTTTGGCTCCCTCTTGCTCCTATGCCTCCTTAAGGAAGCAGATGTATATCTTTGAAGAAAAATGGACTCTAGAGCTAGAAAGCTTTGTTTGATCATTCAACACTGAGCAGATCACTTAACATATTAGACTTTCAGTTGATTAATCTCTAAAGTTCGAGAAAAAATAATTTCTATCTCCTATAGGTTCTGATAGCCCAAAATAGAGGGAGGACTACATTCGTTAATGCTCCAGCTATAGCTTACACGACTTCTGTTAAAACATTTGCCATTGAATGATTATACAGTCTATCCATCTCCTCATGGCGTTTTTATCATCTGGCACTAGACTTGGAATTTGAGGGACTTCAAAAAGTTTGTGGAAAAATGAAATTAGAGATTATTTTGGTGCAAAAAAGTTTTAAAATCCATGCATATTTTTTCTCATAATACCCATTTTTCATAAACTTTTTAAAGACTCCTCTAGAGGAGATATTTAGTGAATGTCTGAAGAAGTTTCTTCCCTTCCTCCTCCCTCCATATAGGACTGTTTAAGGAACTGGGCTGTTTGTAAGACCTTTGAGTGTTTTAAGGCCAAAGGCTGGCAGCCTTGGCAGCCCAGTCTTTAGGGGTCAATCACACTTGCAGTCAAATGTTTTAGAGCATGGTCGCAACCAGGCACTATCTAAAGCGGATCACTTGCATTATAGGTATGTGCCTCTTGTCTGAGGGAGCTACGTACCCTCAGGGCTAAGGTTCCACCTCTCCTAATAAACCACACCAGGGAGACTGTTGTATTCTCAGCAAGACAGAAGAAGTATCACTTTCAAAAGATATATGTGTCTTTTTCCTTTGTACAAGTATATTATTTTGATCTTTGATTCCCTGAACTGCCCCCAAATTCACAGCTCATAAACTAATTTTCCAGGAGGCTTCTCTTTAATGTTCCCATCCTCACTATTTTTTTTTTTCCCTTTTGCTGCAGAGCTCAGCTAAAGACTTCTTTAAACAGGCTTTAGCTGCCCAAATCTGACCAATCACAACCAATGCTCCTTGCTATGCTGCCGCTAAGATGGGGGCTCTGGCAAATGTGGCTTGAGCTGGGAACAAGCCTGGGTTGGCAAGGAAGTCTGAGATGACTCCCCATTAAGGGGCCATTCTGGCAGTTAGAACTTGTCAAATAAGCTCATTAACCTAGGGGAATGAAGGTAGTTAGCAAGAGATTTAGAATGGGAAGAGAATCCTTGTCCAGTTCTCACTTGCCAAGGGCTAATGAGAGGAGATGTCTCCAGAGTGTATTTGTCTGTGAGTTCCTCTCAACACCCTTATTAGAACCAATGTGAGTCTTTCTGAACATCTGCCGAAGGCTCTATCCTTATCAGCTTAACTAGCATTTCAATTACTGCCAAATCTTTAGATACTAAAAAGACTCTCCAAAACAAACTACTTCAGCTAATATACTAATACAACTAGAATCATACAACAATATCTATAATTGCACATACTTATAACAGAGATTTGCTGATTCGAGGAATTCCTTAGTGTTTATAGAGTCTATGGATATATACTCCCCAAACTCTATTTACTCTGTGTTGTTTCATAAACCTTCCTGATTCCATAGGGAAGCTGCTCTCTTAGAATGTAGGTATTTGGGTGTTCAGAAGCATCCACTGCCAGGTGAACAGATGTCAATACTTTATAAATTCTCTTAAATCATCAGATTTATATGAAGAGGTAAAATGCTATGACTAGGAGAATTCACATCTTCAGAAATAGTTTGAGTTATTGCAAAGAATGTAAGATCGAACAGAGAATGGAGGCAAACTAACACTTTTTATATATACCTTTAATATGCCAGGAACTCTGCTAAGTACTTTACTTAATTGTGCTAACAACTCTTTGAGGCAGATTTTTTTTTTTTTGAGAGATTTTCACTGTAGGGCGTGTGCGCTCACCAGACAGACAGAGAGAGACATAGAGACAGGAAGCGAGAAATCACCCCCCAGGGGGGATGGTCACGCCGCAATCCCTTCTCCTCCATTCTCCTCTCGGGATCTTGGGCACGCACGCACACACGCCCGGCGTGAGTTTTAAGCCACCGGGTCCGGGACACAAACCGCGGTCGACTACGTGGGAGTCCAGCGACATAGCCATTACGCTAACTGCTGGTTCCCGAGGCAGATTTTTTGATATCCCTTTTAAGGACAGATGAAATGAAGGAGGTTTTTATAGTTTCTGTTAATTTTCCAGAGCCATAAAGCTAGCATGGGGAAGAACTAGATATCAAGCCCAGATCTTTTTGACTCCAAAGCCCATGTTCAATTCTATGTACCAGCATGACTCAATGCCCATAAATATTTTTATCCCTCAATTAAGTCTTTCTTTAAAATGGTTTTGATAAAAACAGAATCAAGATGGGCAGAAAATAATGTTTCCATAGGGTACTGCAGAATTATGGTTGCCAATCAGAATACCAAGTCAACAGATACTTTTTGAGCACTGCTATTTAGAAAATTCTGGACTAGACATTCGAAGTCAATATCAGAAATATAAGGCAACAACAGTCCAGTCCTTATGAATTCATCAATCAAGTTGTTGGTATGTCAATTTAAGTAACAGCTTAGTGGCAACAAGAACTACAAAGATAATACTAGGGCCAGGCTATGGGGTAGTGGGCTGGATTCCACATGGCTGACTACATGATTTGAATCCCAGACCTAGCGGCTTAAAAAAAATACACTAAGGGGAGGGACCAGCAGTTAGCATAATGGCTGTGTCGCTGGACTCCCATGTAGTCAACTGCGGTTCTCGTCCTGGACGCGGTCGCTTAAAACTCACGCCGGGTGCATGTGCATGCATGCCCAAGATCCCAAGAAGAGAACGGAGGAGAGGGGATTGCAGCGTGGCCATCCCCCCTGGGGGATGATTTCTTGCTTTCTGTCTTTCCATCTCCCTCTGTCTGTCTAGCGAGTGCACGCGCCCTATAGCAAAAACCTCTCTGAAAAAATATACACTAAGGGTGTCTGTGTGTGTGTCTGTGTGTGTGTATGTGAGTGTGTGCCCAAAATCCTGAAAGGAGGGAGAGATTGGAAAGAAGAGATTGTGGCGTGATCATCCCCCATGGAGGGTGTTTTCTCACTTTTTCTCTCTCTGTCTCTCTCCAGCAAGTGTACATGCCCTCTGGCAAAAACTAAAAACAAAAAGGTTATATTAAAAGGAATGACAAAGTCTTGGGTATTGGGACCAGCAGTTAGCGTAATGACTATGTCGCTGGACTGCCATGTAGTCGACCGTGGTTCGAGTCCCAGACCCAATGACTTAAACTCACGCTGGGTGTGTTTGCGTATGTGCCCAAGATCCTGAGAGGAGAATGGAGAAGGGATTGAGGCATGGCCATTCCCTCTGGGAGGACGATTCTCGCTTTCTGTCTCTCTCTTTCTGGCGAGCACATGCACCCTATAGAAAAACCTCTAAAAACAAAAAAAAAGTCTTGGGTATTTGCATGCCCATGACTAGTACAGAGTTAGTTTACAAGAGAAAGATATCATTTTGCACTTGAGGGGATGGCTTTGAGCTGACTGAGACCTTATAGATTAACTGGGACTTGGACAGAGGGGAGCATGGGGGGAATGTGTGATCAGCTGGGAGATCAGTATGGGGAGGAATGCAGGTAACCCAGAATAGTGGCTGCAACAGGTTCAGACCCTCCCACCAGGTCCCTAGTCCATTTCTCCAGATAATTGTCTCCTCATGCCCCACTCTTCCTTGCTTGGCTCTGCTTCTTATTTGCAAATCAGAAAACATGTGATGTTGTCTGTGCTTCTATTTTTTTCTTCTTAAATTTTATTTCAGGATAGCAAATCTTTGACACAGGTAAAAAAAGAAAGGGTTAAAGTTCACTTGAGTTACACAATGATACTTCAAAAACTTCATGAAAAAATTAATGAATTAAAATAAGAGTTTTGGCACAAAGAAAATTGAAATCCATGCACATTTTTTTTCATAGTATACTTTTTTGTGTGTTATTTTCTTGTACTTTCAGCACATTTATATTATCTTAGAAGCTTGAATGTAGTCAGTGCTCAGGAAAGCTGTCTCTAGATGTGTGTGTGTGTGTGTGTGTGTGTGTGTGTGTGTGCATGAGAGAGAGCTAGAGAGAAAGAGTTGGTACTGAACACACCCAGATGAGGTCATATATTCACTATCACCTTAGTATTCAGATAAGTGGTGAATTTGAAGGGATGGTAGAGGTAAGTAAGGGGAGATGAGAAGAGAGGAAGAGGGGAGGAAAAAGAAAAATGTGCAGAGAATACAAATCCCATGGAACTTGGGCCCAGATCCCCTAATATGGCCGCGGGGTCTCTTATCCCTGAATTTGTCATGATGTCTTCTAAATTTTTTTTGACTTTTCTCTTTGTTAAATAAAATAATAGGGAAACATCATTTTATAATAACAACTAAATAGCATCTCATGCCAAAAAAGTGTTCCTTCCAACTCTCATAATGCTAAAAGTCTGAACCACAGGCTAGTGCAATGAAAAACTGGCTCAAGTTGAGACAGACTTTGATTTGAGCCCCAGCTCTGCCACAGAATGTATTAGATCTTAGTCCATTTATTTATACTCATCCCATCATCAGGCCAGCCTGTCAGCCAATGAGGTATTCACCCATCACTTTCATTCATGAATGATTTTAATGTGGCTAAATTAAATAAAATCCCTCTCCATTTCTTTCTGTGTAAAGAGATATAATAGCTACTCTATTGTGTTACTCAATCGATTTTTTAAAAATCCATAATGCATGTCATGCTCAGTAACTGATGTTTAGTAAGTTTTCATCAAACATTAGTACATAACTATCTACTGGGTAGTCAGAAGAGTCATGACATATTTGTCTGTTTTTCAATCCAAAAATACATTGTGACTTTTCTAATGACCCAATATGTAATAAAGCACACATCATCCAGCTACTTGTGTGCCACCACTTAGGATGCTGGAAGACTCTTGGGAGGCCCAGGTTTGGAGCTCAGGACAAGCTGGACATGCCAGGCATGGTTGTACACGTATGTGTACTAATTGAAAGACTGGGACAGGAGGATTGTGGCATGGCCAGACCCTGACAGAAATGCCTATCCCTGACAGTCCCTTTTCCTCTTTCTTCTTCCCTTTCTCTCTCTTATAAAGGAGGGACACATACACACACACACACACACACACACACACAAACAGTATCATAGTCTAATCATGAAATATAAATGTCTTATTCCCCAGCTTATACATTACCTTTCCAGGGACAAGGACATTATTTCACACGCTGATTCCCTTATAACCTGGGGTTGTACACAAAGTCTGATAAAAAATCTTTTCGGTTTGATTTAAAACACATTGGTATTTATACATCTCTCTGCTTCGCCCACCCCCATTTCAGGAATTTTCCCAATTAGTCCAGGCATCCAGGGAGAATCAGTCATCAGCACAGAATACACAACTGAGGGAAGAATGGAAGGAGACTTTGACTCTTTTCAAGGACCCACTGACATTTCTGTTTCACTAGCTCAGTGAATTTGACCAGCTCTGCTGAAGCATGAGTAATGTTCTGACCCTCCCTCATCCCCAGGTCAGCCCCTGGGGAACTGCCAGTGGAGAAAAACCTGGAAGGCAGCAGTAAATGTGGATCCTCCCCAGAGTGGAGACAGGACAAAGGCTGTGCCCCTGGCACCTCCAGATGGTAAGACTCCTGACCTGCTCCCATCACCCCCTGCAAATGCCCTGCACCAGCTCTTTTACCTGCTGCAAAGGGGGACATGTGCAGGGCAGGTGTATCTTTTCTCCTTGGCTTTTTCTGTTCCAGGTCGCTGTTATAAAGAGCAGGGCTTATTTTGCCCTTTGGATGCCTCTCTTGAACATCGTATCTTTTAATTAAATGTTCTGAAAGCACATCTGCATGGTTAAGGGAACAGAGAGAGAAACACAGTCAAATACATATATCCTAATCTATGAGGTTTGTGTACACATACTTATTTTAATAAAAGACATTTCTTAATAGGAAGAATAGTTTTTATGAGGCTTCACTAGGAACATCTTCTATTTGAAGGGTTTTACATACATATCTGATTTCAATTTACTTTCATAAAATCTTGAGGAATTTAATGTTGCAACTACTGTCAAATATCTGAGGAAAGTGAGGCAAAGGCATGTGCCAAGGGTTTGTTTCAGTTCATGGGTGATGGGCAGGAATTGACTCATGTTTCTCTGCCTCCATTGTCCATTCCCTTTAGTCAGAGGGGATCATATGCTGCTCTTCAAGCTACATACTACACACATCTACCCTGATGCCTAATTGCCACTCTTACCTCCACCCATCTGCCTTCTCACTTGAATTTTACATGTGAAATTTTCCTCCATTATGTAATAAATCTCTAAAAACAGCCCTTCTATATAATTTCCCACAATTTACTACTCAGAAGGAGTTCCTGAAGTTCTTAAATCTGAACTTATTTCATTATGAAGTTGCTTCTCAATATTTCAGCTATTTATGTGCTGCTGGTATATCTTATAAATCTGAAGTGTGCTTCCTAGGAAGATCTGTGTTTCATGTGTTTTGTATCCTTCAAAGTGTGTTTTGAATAAAGAGAACATTACATAAATGACCAGGAAGGATTGGGAAAAGGAAACAAAACCAAACAAAACTTTTAGAAATGAGAGAGTATCACACATTACCTCTCAGGGTGTCACAGAGACATGTTAGCTGTTCACTAAACTGTTCTGCTTTCTCCTGGGCATGGAGCTGGGGCATATTTTCCAGACTTCCTTGCAGTCAGGTGAAAACCTGTAACTGGTGGACACCTGGAAACATAGACCATCTTGCCAATCCTCGATTCTGTCTGCCTACCATGCCTGCTGGTCACCAATGCTCCTGGGGACTTCAGAAGCTCATGGTGACTTTGCCCACCATGTGTTTATGTCAGAACCTCCAGCAGCCTGAGTCCCTGAATCACTACGTGGAGGAAGATTGCCTGCTCCACTCCCAACTTTCACTGTCAGAGAATGGAAAATAATGTATTGTAAGTATTGCATTGTATTAAGCCTCTAATATTTTAGAATTTAAATATCCAAAGTTAAAGGAAAAACTCGGTGAGACCAATGTGCTCTAGTAGTAAACAATTCCCTTTTGCTGTGCAAATGGACTTCACCATTACCTGGTATAAAAGGTGGAATATGCAGTGCTGGTGTATCTTTTCTCCTTGGCTTTTTCTGGTCCAACTCAACGTTCAAGGTAGCCTGTGGATTTTTCCCCTTTCTTGGCTTCTTTTTGAGGTCACAGTCCTTAATGAACTGGTCTGAAAGATCATCTGATTTTTGACAGGATGGAAAGAAAAAAAGGAAAGACAACACGAGTAAAGGTCCAGTCACAAACAGGTTGGTTTCCAACTATACCAGTTGAAGGGATTGGGGGAGGGTAGAGGTCATTTGATATGAAAAACAAAAGTATTTATTTATTTTGATCCCTTCTACAGTACAGTGCATGAATACATATAATGAAATAGAAAACTGGAATTCTGTAAGACTTCAGAAGAATTCAAATGGGATGGATCATAAGGCAAAAAGGAACTTAAAAATATGGTCAGGCAAATGGAAAAGTGAATTTCAGCTAAATTTCCAATGGATAATAAGTTTTCTGTATTAAATGTTCCACTTTGTTTAAGGCTTGCTATCTTTGCATCCCCCATGTGCCAATATAAAATCCTGAGTTCCCTTGGTCTCAGAAAGTTCATTAGGATTCTCAGTGAGTTTTTCATTTGCCCTAGTTTCTAGGGCCAGCCAAGTCCTTCTGCTGGTTGACATTAGACTTCAGCATCTTTACACTGTCCTCTGGCTTTGCAGCTCTTCTGTTTACCTACCCTAACTCAAGGTCCTCTTGTCATCTTAATAAGTCTTACTTGTATGTTTATTATTTGCAGTTGCCTGTATTACCTCATCCAGAGCTTGTGGTTCCTGATTTCTGTCTCATTCATCAGAAGTCATTATAGGTAATGGATCCAATCTGATCACTCCTTGTTCATGAAAGTCTTCTCTCTGCTTCATCTTTCTCCTCTGTGCTTTGTTCATGTTCCTCTCTTTGAGTTTCTTGTCCTTGCTTGAGCCCTCAGTCATTTTTCTATAATGATTTATCTCCAGTTCTGGACAGAGACGTCCTATAGATTAATTATTATATCCTTTTTTTGGTAATTTTATTTTTGTTTCTCCCTCTAATAAATTAATGTTGAATGGTTAAGTAGAGTCAGATGGATCTGAGTTCAAATCTTAACTGTCATTTGCCAGTCCAAGAACATGAACCTCAGTTTATAGAAACTTTAATATTCTCTCAGTGTTTAAAATGAGAATAAGATAAACTCTGTGTGTGTGTGTGTGTGTGTGTGTGTGTGTGTGTAAGAGAGAGAAACAGTGCAAGAAGGAGCAAGAAAGAAGTAAACTTGCTAATGTGTGCAAAGTGTCTGATATATTTGCTATATTACAGATGCTCAAAAAATGTTACTCTGCCACTGTTCATCCTTTAAGCTTCCATCAGACCAAGATAAGTCTCCCACTGTCATAAGTCTTTTCATAGTAATTCCAGTTATGAGTGTGCTTTTTCATTTTCTGAATATCCACAGTATTTTTGCTCAGGTAACTTTATTGTTTGTTTGTTTTAAATAATTATTTTATTTAACTTTATTTATTTATTTTAATCTGACCAGAGAGGGACAAAGTGAGTGAGAGAGAGAGGAACAGTGAGAAAGCAAGATGCCAGGTCCAAGACTTGAACTGCAGTTGGCCATGTGGGAGTCCAGCACCCTTAACCACCACACCACCTGCCAGCCCCCTCAAATAACTTTTAAAAGATGGTCTAGTTATCATTTTTGCATGTTTTCTCTGCCCCTTCTAATGGCAAGTATCTTGTATTTAAGTTCCCTAGCAGCAATGAATACATAATTGTTGAATGTGTGCTTGTGTGAATGTACTCAAATATATTTAGCATGAGAAGCTATTCTGCCAGGATTCAAATAAGCCACAAGACAATGAAACTATTTGTCTTCTCTGAAATCTCTAGCTACAGGCTGAAACCAGATCTACAAATATGAATGAGTATGAGGAAATTTGGAAATTAATTGGATCTTTTATCTTCTTCTTTCCTTCTTTCTTTTTCTTTCTTTCATCCCTTCTATCTTTCTATCATTAGGTCCACATTATCAAAAGATACCTAACATAATCCTGTCAAATCAAATAGCATCATTCTCTTTAGCCACATTTCATAGTAATAAGTATTCCTTTTCACTCATTAAGTTTGATAAATTCATCCAACATTTTAATTTAATTTAACATTTATTGCAGTTGTAGTATGTGTAAAGCACTGATAATAGTAATTCTACATTAAGGTTGCTTACACAATAAAAGAGAGGAAAGAAACGCTTTCTTGAGTACCAATTATGATTTCACATCATTCTAGCATATAGGATGGGCCAGAAGTTTTTGGGTTTTATTAATGCCAGTGATTTTCAGTTGTTAAATATTAATATCATCCCTGGATATATTCTTTCATTTAGTCCTCACTCTAAGCCTATAAAGAGAGTATGTAATTATCTCCAACTTGCAGATGATGAAACTGAGTGAGGTTCTGAAAGTCAGGTAAAAGATTTGCTGGCAGGTAATGGGATTAGGATTAAGCCTAGTCTCTCAGACTATATATCTTTAGTGCCTGGCTGAAAAAAATAATGTTTAAAATTTGTTATTGCAGAATGCAGCTAGTTCTCCCAATGATATTATACATACCATAGTCATTTGTTGAATGAATGAATGTTGCTGAAAATGGGTGCTGCTCAACTGTGGGGTGTCTGCAGGTACAGGCTAGATATGACCCTGTGACATGTGGGCCACCATGCAACTCTAGGATATTAGTCCATGCATTACAGAGCACAAGACATTTTCTTCAATTTTGACTTTTACTTCAATTGCACTTTTTCCCATTTTTGAAGAAATCCTGAACATAAAATATCTTGATGGCAAATGCGGAGAGGGGAAAGGAGGGGGGAGTCATAACCAGGCAAGGCATAAACAAAGGCTATGAATATGCAAAAGACCCATCCATCAAAAGTCTGAGTGTCTCATTTTTAGAAATGGGTAGAGGCAGAAATGTTTCTGGTATTTTCATTACAAAGGTTATGCAAAAAGTCAGTTCTGGAAAGGAAACAGATTGACAATAAAGCAGAAAAAGGCTATTTAAAATTCTGCCTTGATAGGCAAAGAGAGATATTTGAAATATTTTATTGGCACTGCATGCGGTGTGTAAGTGTGCCGGGAAATACTGGAAATAAGCTCTACTGCCACATTCCATTTATTACCTCAAAAATGCTCTGTCTGGGACTCTGTCAGACCAAGAAAAAGGACAATGCCTTCTCTCTCTCTTTCTTTCTCCCCAAACTTCTCTCCAGTGCTTGAGCTAATATTTATATAGCAGACCCCTAAGACTCATGGCTATTTGCCTGCCCATCTGTTGTTGGCTGTCATCAAAAGGCACAGACTGTAAGGTTTCAGGGGGCCTCTCTTTGACTTGCCTGCAAACTAAATGGCAGAGACACTCCCTTTCTGCCTTCCACTACTGACATTCACATTGGAGCATTTACCCAAGTGACTGCAGAGAGGGTCCAGCTTGTCCAATCTATCTTCAGAGAGCTCTAGTGGCTGCATTTGCTCAGTGGACATCATCAAAAGAGGGTATGTGTATTTCTTCTCCAACACTACAGAAGTACAAGAAACAGTCCATAAGTATGCCTTCTGTTAATTTATTCACTCATTACACAATTATATTTATTGAGCACTTACTATTATGTTCCCAATCCAATCCCATTTTTCAAGGCTGCTTTTTATATTTTGCAACTAGGAACTCTGAACTTGAGATTCAAGCCAAAATAAAGTGAATCACACCACACGCAAATACACATGTGTGCTTGCACAGATTCATCAGTAATTGTTATGTATCAAATATTTAATGCTTGCCTTCTCTCAGAGGTACTTTGAGAGTCTCAGAATGAATACTTGTTAAGTCTGAATTAGAAATGATGTATCTGAGAGTAGCAGAAAATCTTTATTAGACCCTGCCTATATTTCTATGTTAGGTTCTACATAGTATTACAGTTTCTTCACAAATTAAGAAACTAAGAGAAAGTGTAATTGATTTACTTTGTTACACTAACTAAATAACCAAGCCTAGATCCAATTCCATTTTTTGCATACTCCATTAGACACCAAGTTTCTTAAAAATAAAAGTGAATCTTTTTAACCCAAATTGAACAAGTCTTCTAGTTTTCTACCACTACATCTTAAAACTATAAAGTAATGAGACAGCCAGTCCATCCATATTACGGTGGTGATAGAGATGTGATAGGAACAAATTTAGGTCTCGAATGGATCTCTATTATTTACTCCATAGGGACTACTGAGAGGACAGCAAGTCTGTTCCCCTTCCTCTATCGCTCATGTACCCTGGACCACAAATCAGACCTGTTAGTTATTGCCCTTGTCCAGAAAAAGTGGAAATATGGAATGGGTATGTGCCAGGAATTAATGAAAAAATGCATTAGCTTAGAATTATAGAAAATTGTCATTGAAGTCTGACTAGATTATGTTTCTTGAGTTCTTTTTAGATAATTTATTATTAGGTCTTACCATTTCAAGAATGGTGGAGGAGGAGTGAATAAAATTAAAATGACTCAATTGACTTCTTCTCTTGAGATTCCTAGATAGCCAGCATGCGGATGAACACACAGGCCAGTTGTACTAACATTTCAAGCTCGTGGAATGAGTTCAACTCAGTTGTCTTCTGAGGAATTTACCACTTTTCTCTGGAAAGACTGGAGGGCCTCTCCCTTATGAGCTGAGATCATTGCATAGCAGATGGAGCCATTAACTGATCACTTGAGCACAGCTTTTAGTGTCACTCTGAGCAGACAGATTGTGCTGAGTGACTTTAGCAGAAATCAATTCAGATTATTGTTTTTAGTGTATATATAGAGACTGCCTGGGACCATACACAAGTATGCCTCTGCCTAGGGTTGGCCAGGCGCACTAGCTTTAGTGGAGGGAAGAGCCATGGGAAAATCACTAGGGATGAGGGGGCTCATGCTGAGATCTCAAGACAGTTCTGGTATGGTCCTATGCACCTGCTTCCCCAATCCTCCTCTCTTAGGGTGGCGCCATGGGCCCAGTTGTAGATGTTGCGCTGAAAATCACCCTGTGGAGGATCTGGTCAAAATATTCCTTCTCCATAAGAAAAACCTAAAGCTCAAAGAGGTTAAAATGGGCTATCATGAGTTATGTTCTTTGGGTCAGAGTCTTCATTAGAACTCAGGCCCCTGCTGCCTACTCTAGGTCCTATCTGGCAATATATCCCTCTCTTTCTCCCCAACCTAGGGCAAGCTATTCTTTGCACTTATATCATGTGGCTATTCCTATGTTCCCAATAGCTAGATAGTTCATCTGAGCCTGGGCTTTTGAATCAAATAGACTTAGGCAGTTCTCAGCTTTGAACTAAAAAGTCATACAACTGTGATGAAGTTGCTAAATCTTAACAACTTAATGAAGGGAAAATGGAGCCCAAGTGCAATATACTGATTTTTGCCCCTTCTCCCTGCAAGCTATTGTTGCTATGATAAAATTGAGAAAGACTCACATCTTCGTAGTGCCCACATAGACTGGCACCCAGGGATATATGTCCCTTTGTGCACTTCAAGTTGTTGTTGTTTTTTTTTAACCTTAAGTTTTCTTGTCTGTAAAAGAGAGAAAATAATACCTATCTCCTAGAATTACTATGAAAATGAAATAGAATAGTTCTTGTTTAGTAAGTTGTGGGCATTGTTCAAGTGGCCCCTATTGCTTTGCAACATTATTTGTATTATACCGTATTAGGTAGCTGACTAGCAGAGACCAGCTGGATATAACTGAAACACTCCAGACACAATTGAGCAATATTTTCTCTCAGATGCTGAGCTATTAGAGGACCAGCCTTTACCTGAACAAAGCTACTATGGCAGCACAAGCCTAGAGAAAGAGGAACCTAATCTTGGCCAATAAGTGGACAGGATTAATTCAACAGGCCAGAGGTTCCTGGACAAGGAGATGAAAACCCATGGTAAATCACAAAATTCACACAACTTCTTCTACACAATAACTCATATCATCAAGAAATGAACACTATTTTCTCCAAAAAAAAAAAGGGAATCAACAGTTAGCATAATGGCTATGTCTCTGGACTCCCACATAGTCCACCGCGGTTCACGTCCCAGACCCGGTGGCTTAAAACTCACGCCGGGCACGTGTGCATGCAGGCCCAAGATCCTGAGAGGAAAATGGAGGAGAAGGGATTGTGGTGTGACTGTCCCTCCTGGGGGGTGATTTCTCACTTTCTCTCTTTCTGTCTCTGTCTGTCTGTCTGGTAAGCGCATGCCCCCTATAGCGAAAACCTCACCAAAAAAAAAAGAATTGAACATTATTTTAAAACATTGTAAAAAGAATAATGGTGATGAGTCAATAAGACTGCTTGCTGAGGGGCCGAGAGATGGATTTTACATTACAAAACTGTGCCATGCTTGGCAGAGATGTATTTTGCCCATGGGTTTAGAAGATACTTTTATCATAGATGATGTCATTACAGCCTTCTTCGAAGAAAGTCATCACACAGAGGAAAGAACAAGTTCGTGTAGGAGAGAGATATTTAGTTTAATATAGTCTTATTGATCATTACCTCTGTACCTGTCTGTTGAATGTTATGTAAGATGACACCCTCTCCTGACCCACTCTCCATGTCCGCTCAGTGGGAAAGTGTGTTCTTATGAAAGAATCAGTATAAGATAGGAGCTGGTCTAATACTTGAACCAAGAAATGGAATGTTTCCATGTCCTATTCTGGACCCCGCCAAGTAGTTCTCTCTTTAATTCGGGTTTCACATGAAGCAGGTATCATAAAGGATGTTGTCCAAGGAAGGTTTCATCAACTCCCTCAGCAACTCCCTATAATTTAGGGACTTTCTGAGGCACCAACTCTTTCTTTCATACCTAAATGGTTCTCAGGGTCTTTGGATACCAACCAAAAAGCCAGGGCCTTCAGAGATACCTGTTGACCAATACTTTGTATTTGAGGGTGTTTCATAAGCTGTCCCTAACACAAAATCTGTGACTCCTTTAACATTCTTTTACCACATATTAGTACCACATGGTCTCTGAACTATAACACTTACACGAGATGACCTGTACTGCTACCGTGATTGTTAATATTGCCCAAGAACCCTTGTTTGACAAGCCAAATGTGCTGTAGAAATCAGGATAGTTTAACTAAGTAACATGCCCAGTAGAGTCTCAGGAAGCACTGGCAATTGCATATATTATTTTTGTAGCAAAACTGTGAACGCTCAGACTAAATGACAAACAGATAAATTATGAAAAGATTCACATGCTTTCAGGTCAGAATTTTCTGCCAAATAGCTTCTGTTGAACTTGACAGCAGCAGCAACAAAAACAGCAGCAAAAAAACTGTTGGTTTTCAGAATTTTTCAGATTTCTGTTAGAGAATAAAGGATGCTGGATCTATATTTTTCTCTGCTGTTTAGAAGAATGTGGATGGCTGGAATAACACATATGAGAAACCTAGAGATGTAATTTCGGGGTTTGAGGAGGTTTTCATAACCCCAGATGCAAACCTCTTGCAGCTTCTTCTTACTAATCCTTCTTTTCCTTTTCACAAGGGAGGGACAAAGCCTCTTTTTTCAAAGATAGGCACTCATAAATGCAAATACCACAGAGAGAGGAGCTATATAAATCTGATGTCCCAATACACAGGGATTGTTAATGGCAAAGGTCATCTTCTTTCTTGAGAACAGGAACTGAAAGGACCAAGGATCTGGATACTAGGGAGGAAGCCCCAACTAAAGTGCAGAAGAGCAGACAGAACAAAACAACCTGGGGAAACTAAGGACAAAGTTTTGTGGGGCCAGCCTCCACTAGCTCAGAGCTAATGCCTATTTCAGAACAGTAGCAGTATCTCTGCACCTGAAAAAAGATCAATTCAGTTTGAGGTAAGAGGGCAGTCTGGGCATTTTGTCATTTCTCTTAATGCTGAATAGTCTTTTTCAGTTGGATGTGAGAATGTGTAGTTCAATTCACATGAAGAAAATTCCTCATGATTGCAAGCATTTACTACTGAGAGGCAATATGAGGTAGTAGTCATGTTCGGTTGCTTGTACCCCTTTCAAGCTAGGTAAACTCAGTTTTCACATCTGTAAACTGGGGATGAAGTGGCTCTCCTTTGTGGGTCATTGAGAGTATAAACCATAACACTGCAATGAGGGTGAGTTGCCTTCTTTTTCTGTCAGTCTTTCTTTAGTGATTATAACACGGATAGCTAAATTTATCCAACAAAATAATCTGTCTCATCTCTGGCCTTCTCTGAAGCTCATAATAAAATGAGAGCAGTCCAAGGCACAAATCAACTCCAGAACACCCATGTCTAAATCTTGGGAATAGGGAATTACTGATTCCCAGGAATGAGTTGACTCTTAGCTTAGTCACATCAAATACGAAGTAATATTTCTAAGTAAGCAGGCCTAGATCTACTTACAGAATAAAAAGGTGGAAGCTGATGTCCACAGCTCAAAGGGGTGTCTGGTTAATACACCCTCTGGCTAAAATTTACATTCTTTTGTCACTTCTTTTAAG